AGTGTTTATCAAACCTCTATAGTAAACAAGTTCGGGTTCAGTGCATCCCGATGCGGTCCAGGATATTTTTGAGTCCAGACGGTCCAGAATTAGCGGACTGGAAATACCCGCTGGAGTTGGAGAAAACTTAGTGACTCCAGCAGTTAGGCCCGACCAAGCCAAACGACACAACGCTTGTTTTTGGACAGGGGTTATAGTTATTATTGCTCTTATTTTTTCAAAAGAGAATTTAGATAATTTTATTTCAACCTCATGCGTTACAATTTGGACCAATAGAGGAGCGTTATCTGGTTGCATATAAACGGGTTTAAAATTATAAATTTGGTATGGATTTTAGTTTACTTTTTTATATCGACTTTTCAATAGCTTAAAACAAAAAACGAAACGAGACACTGAATTACAAAAACCGACAATTAAAATTAGTTACTATATAATAACAGACTTAGATAATACATAAACTATTCATTCTTTGTTTGTTAAATATGCAATTTTAAGTATTTTAAATATCAATTTAAATACTTCATGATTTTTATTATTTTCATTAGCTGTATAAACTGAGTTTTTATAAATCTTAGGGAACTTAGGAACCTTAAACATCGACCCAAACATTCCTTTATCTTAAAATTTGCTCATTTTATATTTGCTTTATCTAGATTTCAATGAAGTTATTTAAGTTTAGCTATCACCATACAACAACACCAAGGGAGTGATTAACCTATGCTATCACCATTGACTATTGGATACAGAAGTATTGATAGTCAATGCTATCACTATTGACATAATGGCTACTAATAGAGACTACTAGAGAGAGTCTATATGGACTGACTGTATTTTTTAGAACATAGTTGAGTTATGCAACTCCTAGAGTTGCTGTAAAAACCCGATTACCCCCTTTGGATATTATTTTTTTGATCCCAAAGTATTTGAACCCAAATGAGCGAAGGATGAGCGTAGACTAGTGTGAGATGAACTGTATAATAGCTTTGTAGCTATGTTACTAACTAAGATCAGCTGTTTCACTATTTTATATAGGATCATTAATTTAAAGCTCAGTGATCAGACACAGCTTATTCCAGTTTTGAGCCATCAAAAACTGCTGATTTTCTCAGGATAGATCCGGCAATCTTTTGGTTGTTTGACTACCAGTAGTTACTGACATCATGTCTGTAGGTTCTAGGCTCAGATGAACTACACCAATTTTAATTGTAAAGTTGGCAAAAATTTAAACACACTTCAACCAATAGTCAAGGCTGTCACGAAGTTTAAATTGAACTAAAGCTTTACCAAAAAGAGGTGCAATTAAATTTTTTTCCTACAGTCACCCGACAAAGTTGGCTTCCTTGTACTGTTTATAGTACAGAAAGCTGCTAATTGCTGAATATTTATACTTTGCCGTACGGTTTATACTTTGTCGTACGGTTTATACTTTGCCGCACATCAGGATTCCAACGAAACAACACAAAACAGCCTGGTTCTATTATGCACGAAATCCGTGTACGCTTGGAAATAGGTTGGCAACACTTAAAGATAATAATACTATGAGCAGCTGATTGACTACAGTATCATAACTACTATTCCTGTCATTTCGTGTTTATAGTTTCGGTATTTCTGAACTTTCTGGACTTTTCTTTTAAACGTTTTTAAAACATTCCTACGATCTTAATAAACATGAAAATACCTTTAAGGCATTTTTTAAGGCGCGGAAACCACTTCAAATTACAAAAAAAATACGGAACTATATTCTCAAAACGCGGAGCACATTTCTTGCCGAGGAAAATACGGAATCTTGCGGAGTGATACGGACCGGGTACTACTTTCTTTAAGGGCACCTATTTGTGTTGCCAGCTGAACCTAAAAACATGTAGTATAGTGTTTAAAAGACTAATTATTTATGTGCGTTATAGTGACTGTAGGAAAAATATAATGTGTAACACGAGTGCAAAAGGCCTTTGCTGCACTCGAGATCATTGCTCTCGGGTGCAGCAAAGTGCCACTTTACCGACTAGTTACACAAATAACTATTTCCTAATCAAAATATAAACTATAAGTTGTAAATGATTAGTCAATAATTAAAGAACCGTACCACTCTCTTTCAAGAACCGTTTACTCTCTTTCAGTCCACACCATGTAGCTATACCTTAAAAGTTTTGACTCAACAGTACATCCGGTTTCCAAAAACTACGCCAGTTTACTCCTGAAATATTGATACATAAATCGTCGTCTTCTCAGACAGGCTGGAAGATACAAGACGCTTCAGTGACTGCAGTGATATTCCAGACTGTTTCTATGTTCTATTTCAGTAAGAACCATTTCTGTCTTGTTGACAGATATATTTCCAGATTATTCTAATGCTCTGGAAACAGCATATAAATGACACGGTGTCCGAAGGTGTATTTCAATTTGTCGAGGTACGTTAAACACGTTATTTGCTGTGAGGAATTTACATTTGTTTTGTGGACTTTTGATTTTAATGGATTAGTTTAGAGATTGTGTAGACTTTTAAATGTTCAAAGCCTATACATTTTGTTTGTACTTGGTACTTAGTAACTGATTGAAGTGTGGTTTTGTATTTGCGTGTGCTATTGTAGGAAAGTTGCATAGTTCCCGTTACATTAAACTATTTGTTATTTTTTTATGTGTTGAAATATTTAAGACATGTTTATGTTTTTGATATATGTGTACATATTGCATATTGCAAAGTAAAGCTTAACTCACAGGAAATGCAAAATTTTCATGACAGTGGAGATTTTTCAAGAAAATGATAGGGTATTAAAAACTATCATTTCCACATAATGAAACCGCCATTTTCAAAGGGATAAGAATAGTAAAATTCTGATTACGTCAAAATGTCTGTATAAAAAAGAGCTTTAAAATTGTGTATAGTATGGCATATATATTTGACAATTAAATTTTAGCTAGTGAACCTCTGGTTTTAATATTTCTAGTATAAAAAACATTAAAAATATTTAAAAGTTTTTCTTGGTGTTGGTTTAGCGGGATAATTTTTAATTTCATCATTTGGGATCTGTCTGAAATAAATAAAGGACAAGGGCTGGTAGATTCACCCTATAACTTATAAAAAAGAACCCACGTCCCACATACTTCAAAATAGATCTCACCGTCAAAGTCTGTTTACAAACTGCACTATTTGCGTGGGAATGTTGTAAAAAGTAAAATACATATACATAATAGTCATGAAATGTATTTGTTAGTGCACGGGTCTTCGGTTATAGAGTTCTGGGCTCAAATCCTGCCAGACCAGAACCAAAGGCTTTAAACTTGTAAAATCGCTGTGACTCGGGTTACTTATCCTTAGTTACAAGCCATGTTTTTAAATTTTTTTTTTTTTTTTTTTTTTTTATAAAAAAGCATAGGCGCTTTACTCTATTTAAAACATCCTCCACCAAAATCTTCACGATTACTTAATTTAACACTAAGTTAAGATGTGCGCTTCATTTGATGGGATACCTAATCACTGACTTTAGTTGAGTATTTTCGACTTAGTTGTTTTATTGAGTTTGTCTTACTATTGTTCTAGATATATACTAACAAGAAATCTCTTCAATCATAGGTGTTGCAGACTTTCTTAAGCCAGAAAAAATAAAAATAAATAATGCAAATAAAAGAAATATGAAATCGTGAACGGCCGAAGAAACCGATGTAACGGAGATATCACAATGAAATGCACCATTTACATTAGCACACTTCACCCAGACATTCAAAGAATGTTCGAATCATCCTGTTTGAAGCATCAATCAAAGTGATGTAAACCAACAAACTGCGCATTTACTGTCATTCCTGCCTTCTCAGTAGGCTGGAACGTTTGGAGGGAAAGCTACATAATTGGCGCGGAACGGCCATCTTTTAATTATAAGCATCATTACCTTCAGTATCTGGGGGGTAAAAGAGGAACTGTAAACAGTCGGACTATTGCATCGGTTGAAATATAATATCGGTTTTATGTTTGTTTTTATGCATTACCAAACCGTCTATACAACCGCAGAGAACCTATGGGAAGTTGTTGTTAAGTGCAATGAGGTTTATTATTTTCCGTGTTGTCAGCTGACCAGAAATTTTTTATTTGGTCTCAGGCTTTCAAAGTTACCACTTTAATTACGAGAATCATAATATGATACAATTTGAATCAATTGTACAATTTTTTATGCATGCGATGAGAAAATTTCAACACTCACTTATTTTACTTTTAAGCATTTTGGCAGTTTAATAGTTTTCAATATTGAATCAATTAGTAAAATAAAATGTATTTATTTAATGTTTATTTTTTGTCCTAGCCATGAAACTGGGATTGTTTTACGCATTACTTACAGGGATATTATGAAACACACCATAAAATAACTTGTAGTACTCAATAAGTTTGAAAGTATAATTGTTGCATGTTCAAAGCGAATAATAGAAATATCTTTGATGTAATCTTTTTGTAAGTAGCTGCAGGAAAAGGTATCTAATTTATATTTCCAAACACCTGACAATTAAAATTAAACTGAATGAAAGAGTATATGTTGTAAAAACTAAGAACCATTAAGTAGTAATAATCTATGGTAGTGTTGTATCTATGTGTTTACACAATCTGTTCCAACAACTGCTATGTGTTTGTTAGTTATTTTCAATCATATGTTATTATTATTGTTCTAATGTGTTTCAATGTAAATAAATAAGACTTCAAATTAGGCTCATTTCAACTTGTAAATTCAAAACTATTTTTAATATTCAAAACTTCTAATACACTAAAGAAATGGTGACGAGAAGAGACTAACGTGATTAAAAATTTACAGTGGTTTCAAATATTTGATAAACTCATTTGTCTCAAACCATCTTGAAGCATGAATAGTGCAACTAGTTTTTTATACCGTTATTTTGTACAGTTAATGTGAGTACGCCCGGTGAGTCAGTGAGTCAGTCAGTGAGTCAGTGAGTCAGTGAGAAGCGCGGGAGGTGGCTGTACCGGCGCACTCTGCGCTCATGCTACTTCAGTTGTGTATGTGCGGGCGACCCAGCGTCATCCACCCTACAGCTTGTAAGTAGACCTACTTTTGTCTCAATGTTTCCATATCTTTTACCATGTTAATACGTACACTTTTTAAATATTTACTGTAGGGTAATATTTTGTGACAAAAATTAATGGCATTTTAAAATTGCAGGATATTTGCCTAATGGTGTGTTGAATGAATATTTATTTTGACAAATAGTATGTTGTAATATAAACTTACATTATCCATTTACATATTTTCCGTAGGAAAGTTTCTTGTGTAAAAACTAGCCTAGTCCTGTAAAATTGCATATTTTAAAGGTTTTAGAGACGGCAGAACTTATGCAAAATCTTTTCCCGCGCACAGGTCTTGTAAGGCCTATGCGCGGGACTATTTTTTCGTATTCTGAGATATATGAGATGAAAAAAATGTATCACCATACAAAACCGCAAAAAACATAGGCTACATTGTTTAAATACAAGCTGTAGGCTATGGCCGGATTTATTTTTGTGCCCAAGATACATTTTTACATATACAAGCAAAATATTAATTTTAAGATATTAATAAATATACAAAACAATTTTACTGTGAAAAAGATTATTAGTACATTAAGTTTGAAATATTCATAAACTTTGAAATGTAGATACAAATAGCATGGTTCCTTTTCAAATTCAATACCGCCTATAAGGACTACATTTTCCTATTTTTTTTCTTTATAAAAGTAAACACAAATGTAAAGACACATTAGTGTCATCTTACACAAGCTACATTAGAGTAACGTAAAAAAGAATGTAGGCCTACAGACAATTATGTGAATCTAACGTGATAAGTATATTTTCAAAATTGAATCAACTTTCCAAAACTTCTGTAAAATAGGTAGGCTAGTAGGTAATAGGGGTTTCTTATGAATTTACTCATAATGTCTTTATTGTAGGGTTTGGATTTTATCCATAGGTAGGTACTCTGAAACCCCCTAAAAAGGAACTTCACGACATTACATAATGGACACAACTTAATTTAAAATAAATTCAGTTAAATAATATATTTGAATCTTCTCCAGTGAAAAGGATTTAACAGTTTGTAAATAACAATTAATTGTTGGTAAAATTATTTATCTTTCGACGTGTTTTTTTTTCTGTTGACTAAAAAGGGAATACAGTCTTAAGGTCCACAGAAATACAGTGTATATTTATTGTTTTTTATGGTTTGTTTCAAATTTGTACATATTGAACCAAATTAAAGAGAAGTTAATGAATATTTATAAGGGCAAAAAATAAAACAAAGAAGGCATTTTTTAGAAATTTTCATTTTTAAATTTCGTATAGGCTATAGGGATACATATTGATACTACATAAAAGAATATTATAAATACATTTAAAACAATAATATATTCAACTGGTTGCAGTTTGACTGTTGAAATAATGTAATAGCCTAGGCTACAAAATGAATTTACGAAGTTCGCAGTTTTTAAACTTTAAGATATTTTAATCCACCCTTAAATTTCCAGCTAAAGATACCTTCTAGAAGAATACAAAAGTTATGTTTTGAACACCCCATTTTTCACTGATAAACCTACTTTGAATGTGATGTAGGAAGTAAAGATCACTGCAAAAGACTGTTTCAAAATAAAGTAGTGTAGGTAGCATTATAAAAATAGGTTAAATTCATACATTAAATTCATTCGGACATTGTAATGTTTTGGTAACCTATGATGTAGGGTCAACCGGGGCTAATATGAACACACCGAAATATTGGGGCTAATATGAACAATGACTTAAAAAGTCATTTATCTGGGATTTTTAATCATGAAAAAAATATAATTAGAAAGGAAATTTATTGTATTTTTTGTGTCCATAATGAGAAAACTTCAAATTTGACTTTTAGGTACTTTAAAAAAATACTTTGTTAAAACACTTTTTTTCCGCCCAAAAAACTTTTCCGCGCAAAGTGAAAACTTTTGTTATAACAATTTTTACATTGGTTGTAGGAATAATCTTAAGCCTGAATTTTGTTAAATAAGAATTGGGGATTATTTTTCTTTTCCCAAAGTTAAAATATATTAATAACAGCCAAAGTTATAAGCTTTCAAAGTTGGGGGGCTAATGTGAACAGTGAATGGGGGCTATTGTGAACAGTACCACCTTCCGCTATGTCGCCACAGTGTTAAAAACACTGGCTGACAGGGAGATCGAAGTGATGGGATTTAAATCCTGTGATGAGGAAAAAAAATCATTCCTGAAAAAAGAAGATGATAGGTATGTTTATTGTTTCTACCACTGACATTTTGGGGGAACTTCCAGCCCCTAATGTATGTGGAACCAGTGATAGACATAAGTATGTCTTCGACAAAATTGTCGAAGTTTTTGAGGCGTAAGTTCCTCAATAAACTTCTTTGAAGGCCTTACAGTGATAAAACAGTTTTAATTTTACAAAGACAACAGTTAAGGTGTTGAATAGGCCTAGCCCACATTTTTATATTTACCTAATAGGCCTAAAAATGCAATAAACTGTCATTTGCCTAAGCGAACAATTTGCATTGTCTTAAATTAGGCTATTTTTTTGTTTAAGTGCTTTAAACAATTTGTATGTGGAAGAAATTTTTAATAAATACTCAGGTATGTTGACAGATAATTTTTTTCTTGTTTTTATCTTATTATTAGCCCTGTATAATATTTATAAATGGTTTTAAAAAAAGGGTTACCGTAGGGCGACCCGCGGCTTTCCAAAGATACCTTCATATCTCAAAAACTATTTAAGATAAAATATTGAGACTTATTGCAACTGGTAGACTAGACCCTAGGCTTGTTCACAACAGCCCCCACATAATGCCTAGTGTTGTAAATAACAGAGTTATTAAGAGTGTTCACATTAGCCCCATGGGCTGTTCACATTAGCCCCTTTTAGCAGGGCTAATGTGAACAGTGGTTTTTAATTTTTTTTTTAATAATGGTTACATTTATGGTTTTTGTTAGTAAATAAATAGATTCAGCTAAAAGAGCTGTATACACTACTATTTTTTCTTTTCTTCTGTCATTTACCATTTTTGAGTTAATGTCAAAAGTTTACTTTTTTTGTTCATATTAGCCCCGGTTGACCCTAGTGGATTTATAGCCTAAGTACAGCACTTTCCCCGTCTATTAATACAAAACCTATTTTCTATCGGTAAAAAAGAAGCAACTTTGGTTGAGAAATTAAATTCTCATATGTTCGTATGAGAAATACTTTCCATTTACATAGGTAATTTGAATTGTACGAAAATTGTTATTTATTGATAGAAACAAATTGGAAAAGAAATACGAATATGTAAAAAATTATAAACAATACAGATATAGTTAGTAGCTAGTCAGTATTAAATGTTGGTAAAACGAAAAGTAAAATGTGTTATTTACCAACATACAAATGGAATTAATTTATTAACCAAAGCAATCACTTCATGTTTAATTTAATTTAAAAGACTACCTACGACATTTAGTGTTTGGTCTTCTTTTGTTTCTTCGTTGAAATTCATATTTTATTATAACAAAATTGTACTTTTATAATGTTCACGTCTATGTATGCAATTACTACTGCTTCTCCGTTAATTTCACCACATATAATTTACTGACTGTGACATATATAGGATAATTTACAATTACTCAAACTCGTTTAAATACTTCTAAAATAAACTAATAATTGGTCTGGGGATATTTACGTATTGAGTATCTATTTTGATTGAAAGGCAACATTTTATAATTTGACAATGTTACCTTATTATTATAATCGAATGTTACATTAACAGGCCAGCAAATGAAGCTAAATCCAAACCAACCTACACCTTTTGTAGGACGATCGGTGTAGATAAAAAAAATACTCAAGCGCGTCTAGCATTAGTTGCTTTCCCTAAAAATTTTGAACAAGAAAAGGGTAAGCACGTATTTTTTAAGCTATTTAAAAAACAACCATTAATTGTTTTAACGTAAATTTTTAGCCATGTAAAAAGCAAGCATTGATTGTAATATAAACTCAAAGGAAACACCTAGTTTTAAAACAATCTTTGTATTAAATAAATCAACATCAGTGAAAATAGCATAAACTATAATTTATTTTAATGGTTTGCCAGTAAAATTTCTGGCCCAAAAGTAAGACTCGTATTAAAATCATTATTAAAAAAAAAACTAACTTTGATTTTATAAATTTTCTTGAAAGAGTGTGTTAGAGGGTTCTGTGCCATGCTATGCAAATCATTTTGAGGCTTTTAAAAGTTCATGATTAGTGTAGTGATATGCATTCGTGCAAGTTTATGTATCTAACAACTACCTAGGTTATCTTGTCTGTGCTTATTTATGCATTTCCGGTCAACTTGCCTTTTAATGAACCTTAAAGGTTAGGTCCTTTTAACTAACCCACTAGACTAAAAAAAGTGTGGTTTATTTATTCGTTGGATGGTTTTGTTCGAGCATTTCAAAACAAAGGTGTTATCATAGGTAAAACTGTAAATTTCAAACCCCAATTAATAATAAAATTTAAAATTAAATAGTTTGCGTGATTTTATATCTTATGATACATATACAATATTTAAGGTTAACTTACTAACACGTTAAAATGAAATATGTTTTAATTAATATTGAAGATGAATTTATATCAAGAACTTGTCCGAAAGAGTTTTAGTTTCTTCAGGAATTCTAATTTATGCAAAAATCCAATCATTACAAATTGTTCTTTCATGAAACACAAAACTCAAACACTTTTATTTATATTTGAATGACAGTTCTAAATAAATCATCGATTTACAAATTAATTATATTACAACTTTAAAATTAAATACTTCACTAATATTTTTGTAATATTTATTTCGTGAGACCTTTCGCCTTCGTCAGACACAACAAACACATTGTGAGTTACGTTTATAAATAAACATTCCAAAATTATTTGTGAATTATTTATTTTAAAATATATTTAAATCAATTACCAGTTTTACATGAAGAAAAAGAATTATTTGATGTTATTTATAATATTAACCGAAATTTATCTTAACCTAAAACTTTATTAGCTTTTGCTTTATATCCATGAGTAGATGGATTACTTTGAATGCGTACGTTAAAACTCTAACATGTAAAAAAATTTGATTTCAATTAAAATATTAAAATATAATAATCTTTGATTCAAACTTCCACTGATTTTCCTACGGTTTATAACCACTCTGAAAGAACTAATGAATCAAAACTTTTTAATTTGGTGACTGGGGTGCATGGAAACAGTTCGCAACATGGCGAGTTCTTTGATACTTGCAAGTTACAGAGTGTAGAATTCCACGTGAAACCCAATAATGACTAAGTCTATGTCGCTGACATTGTCAGGATTAGTAATTTAAAGGTTTAACGAAGCAGAGACATCACCCTTGAATATTTTTACTCACCCTCTTTCAAATGTTACAGGTGAAGAGCTGCAATGCAAGAAGCTGCCACGAGGTAGTGATGGCGAAGATGGACCTCTCCTAGCATGAGTCGACAACGCATCATGATCCCGGAGGCGTTCAAGGTTCTTCCGCCACTAAGTCCAGAGCTTCCGGCGCCTCCTAGAGCTCCGCCACCCCATCGAGTGGCTCCCCCTGTAGTCAGGAGGGAGAAGACTGCCTTCGTCATCCTCAACGACGAGGCGCCACCACACGGGAGAAGTAGAGACAATTCTCCTAATGGGAGAGTGAGTCCTTTCCGAGGAAGAGGCTTCCGCGAAGAGACTTCCAGGCATGCCTCCAGAGAGCCATCCCCGTCACCTGACCGAGCGAGGAGAATCCCTCCACGAGCGAGGAGTAGATCGACCAGTAGACTGCCTGTAGCTACTCCTAGAACTGTCAACGGCTCCAGCACCCCTACCAGCCCTCCAGGAGTCTCTGGTATACCTAAGCCTATCAGCAGAAGAAACTCTTTGTCGCCAAATAGAGCAACTCAAGTGTTGAATCAAGTGAATAGAAACAAATCTATAAAGTTGCCCTCCCAAGGAAAACCAGTGATAATAAAACCAGTGTCTCAATCTCCTCGGCATTCCGTTAAGACTGGCGTTTCTCCTAAAAGAGTTGGATCTTCGGAGATCTCAAAATCCCTAGTGAATGGGACGAAACCACCGATTCCGAAGATTCAAGGAACGCAGAATCAGAAAAATGGTGAAAAGGAAAATGACAAACGGGGTAATCTTACATCTCCGTATAGGAAACGACCTCAGCCGAGCAAACCTGAAGCGGTCAAATCCCCCTCTAGGATACCGCGAACTAGAAGTGTCTCGAGAGGGAGGGAGGATAATGTCCGAGCTTCATCTCCTGTACGAGCGGTTGTAAGGGCTTCACGAAAACTACCTCAAGGATCAACTAAACCTGCTAACGGTGACAAAAAGGGTGTTTCGAATATAGAAAGGAGAAACAACGCTAAGAAAACTGGCCCGATTGCAGATAAGAAGAATGCAACACCAAAAACATCCGTGCCAACAACACCAGCGACACTAGTCGAAGAGAAGCCTAAGCTTAACTTAGACCTTGACAATAAAATTCCAACACCTATAGAGGCTGTTGTTTCAACACTTCCAGGAACTGACGACAAGACTCCGGAACTTGAGAAGAAAGAAATACAAGAAGCTCCGATTGAGGTGCAACCCCAGGCTCAGGTACAATCTCCTCCACCGGCAAAGACAGTGGAGGTAGAAAAAGAAAATAAAACAGAGGAAACTCAGAAACCCCAGGAAGCTCCAACTGCTGCTAAAGATACCAAAGAAGAAGTTCCAGAAGCAACTGTTACTCTTGTACGAACTACAACTGCTCCGGCCCTGGAACTGGCCCAGCCGGATGTAATCCCTACGATTTTGTCCAAGGGAGAGCAGGAGATCTCAAAGTCGATCAGTGAAGGTCCTTCTGAGGAGGATCAGGACGAGAACCCAGGAGGTCCGAAGGGAGAGACTCTCGCCTCCGTGGAGTCTGTCAGGTCCAATTCCTCGGTGGAGACAGTGCGAGCGGCAACCAAGGCTCAGAGTAGAGAGAATGAAGTGGAGGTACTTAGCGCCAACAACCTGATGAAGTCCGACAGCCACACCAGAAACGTCGCGTGGGACAAGTGAGTCAAATTTGTCATTTATTATGTTTATGGGCACTAAAGCTCAATTACATTGTGAAGCTGCAATTGCTGATAACGGATATAGTCGTGTCGTATTATTTCAAATCGTATGTTTTATTTTAACAGCGATAAGTACTCTTGTTTGGTATAAAAAATGTGCGTCGATCTCCATAATTTATAACCCATAATCCGGAATCAAATAACTGTTCTTATGATCGGTCTATGAAGTAGGCCTATCAAGCTTTTCGTTTCCATTTTTTAATTAGTATTGCATTTTTAATATTTGGCTGATGAGTCATGTAAACTAAAAAATATTAAAAAATGTGTATGATACAAATTTGTTATTTAAAACTATTATAAAAACGAATTTTTTCCCATGTTTTCAGTAGTATTGAATTTTCTACATTTAGCTGATGCGTGATCTAACACTATTCAAAAATTATGTGTGATACAAATACTGTATGTTATTTAAACAGTTATAAAAACAAAGTTTTTGTAATTTGGACGAAAGGCTCTGTTTTTAATTTAAGCTTTTTGGTAAAAGTAGAAAAGCCTTTGTCTCCACGAAATGCTTAACTTTAAAATTTTATGAAATTTGATTTAATATATGCCTACTGGAGTTAACTAATAAAATGAAAAGACATTTAGACAAACACAACTACTTATCGAAGCTATTTTACCAATCATTTTAAGTATCAAGGCATTAGTTATGTCTTTAAATTAAAGGACACTTTTAACTTTATGAATTCTCAAAGAAGACAACGAGGACGTCAGACACGCAGCGAGACGCGTCCACACGGCATACTCCACTCGTGCATACATTTACGTCTATTTGGGTCATGGGCTAACTTGTTATACAGCTGTTTTGAGGTTACTGCTCAATAAAGTATATTTCTGTAAACGGTTATATTCAATGGCACTTTGATGGGGATTTAGAAGTCAACTATCTTTCCACAAGTAGTAGTACAGTATTATTTTATGATTAAGCTATGGTAAACGACAGATTTAATTTCGTAATGGTTCCTATAAGTCTGTAGGAGTGAACTGGTCTGGTAGAGTGCGAGACTTCGGTCCCCGAGGTCACTGGTTCAAATCCCGCCAATCACCAATGGATTTTATCCCAGCGATAATGCCACGATCCCCTCTAGACATAGCGTGAAGTAATGTGGAAAACAATTCTAGACCAGAAATTAAAGGAATAGTAAATCTTTTTGTAAGTCTACTAAGACTCGTGTTAAAAAGCCACATAGAATAGGTGTTTGCTATGTAAACACCATTTCAATTCGCTGGGTGATACATTGCCTTTTTATCAGCTTATAGATGAGTTTTCGAATCCAAAATTTCGCAATTGAGCTAGCAGTAAAGATCAAAATAGTATTAACAATTCAAACCCTTATTTCAAATAAACATTACAGTATAGCTGTATACTTTAACACACAACTTATCTATCCTAACACTTCCAAGTAAAACATACATAAACAAAACTTTAACTCTAAAAGAAATTTATCATTAATATTGAAGCTTGGGAACATTTTCCTCAACGAACTAATTTCGAAGATGAAAGACTGCAATTTATTAAGGTTAGTAAAATAAGTAATTAAAGAATAAAGCTAGGTGTGCATGTCGACAGGCAGTATATTAACACTGGACATAACGCCTAAGTTACCCACTAACTTAGACTGTCTTCTTATTGTTGTGTGCTCGGCCTATCTTCCCTATCTAACATTGAACATTTTGTAGAACCTTTAAAACTATCGAACCTACAATTTTATTTGCATTCAATTTCTGAATTACAGTCAAAAGTAATTCATAAACAATATAATTTATCTATAAGTTTTGAAGTATTTTAAAGTATTCTTCCAGATTGAAAATACCCCCGCCACAGCAAACCTAACGACGACTAAACGAATTTCCATTCGTCTGAATTGACCTAGGTTTGCTGCTACAAGGAAACTGAAACTAATAAAGTGTGTTTTAGTAAAATAATAATAGCTTAGTATGAATTAAATATGCCAAGTTTTATCAAAATATATCCATAAACAAGTAAACTACAACATTTTACAATATTCTCCATAAGAATAAAATGGGAATTTTAAATTTACAATTTTTGAATTTTTCCATTACCAATAACCGTACAAAAGCACTTTGTTATACTAAATTATTTGTTTTTTTAAAAAGGTCTAGAGAAAAATTGGGAAATTTTGTGTTTTGAGGGTCAAAAATGAGAAAACCCATTTTTACCCCATAAAACCCCCTGTAAACCCCCATTCCCATGGTCCGATCATTCTCGTTCGCGAACTCATTCAAGTTGATCTCGCCTTACACCTATAAACCAAATTTCATCAAAATTGGTCATATATACAAATTTGAACGAATTGTGTTTTTGTCCTCTGGGGACATCAAAATGAAAATGTAAATCCGTCCCGGGCCTAGGTCTTACCGTACCACCTACGGTAATAGCTACTTCGCTATATAGAATATCGCTAAAAAAAACACACCTATCATGGTAACAATATGATTATTTAATTTGTAATATTTTGAGGACTGAGGAATATTTCAAAGTTTACATAAAAAGTGAATTTACAAAATGAACGAGATTAAAACGATATGGAATTAAAACTATAAATAATAATAAACTTAGACTTTTTATATGAATAAACAGTTTTTATACATTTGTACAGTATTTAATTTAGTGAATACGACTAATATTTTAGTTTGGTGCTTCAAAATGGGTTAAAACGTTAACTCATCTCACAATTGAGTTAGTAACAGTAAATAAACTCACTTTAACAGACTAGAATAATTGCACAAGCTTGAAAACACAAAGTCTATATGTAAGACTATTTTTTATTGCAGTAAAGTACAATAGGGCAATAAAACGACTCAACTCTATATTTTCACTATTGAATGTTACTTAGAAATTATTAATGTCTAATAAACTCGAGTTTACTGTGACTTCGTGCAGGTTTTAGCTTTAATTGCTTGATGAGTTACTATTTGATCATATCTAACCCAAGAAAAGGTTCGTTTATAGTTTTAACGCTATATTAAATACCAGTTATGTCGTGGTCGTTTGAATGCGACATGATATAGTGCAGAAATCTTTGATAAAGGTTATTTAAGAAATGTATATATTATTTATTTGTATTCGTGTGTGCAAAGCTTCCGATGGTTTTATAACACTTACAGAGATGGATTACTACAGAGTATTAGGAATATTGTGTGAAATTATAAATATTACTAACAACTGAAAAAGATGCACGGGAAGCTTTTTAATGGAACAACTAGATATTTTAGTTAAATCAATTTGCGTTAGAAAAGTGTCTCATTTTTTGTTGGAAGGCAGTGTATTTTAACCTAAAAACAAATGATTTTGTAAGAATAGACATTGGATAGATACAAACATTGGTTTTGAATTTCTAGAGGTTATTGTTAATCTTCAAACGTTACTATAGTCTGATGACAACTAAATTGAAATCCAATCCAAGAAAATATGTGTAGATAGTTTAGCGATACCCTTACTTAATCATATAACTTTTCAATATTTAATCTGCTTGTTTTTTTACGTTAACGCAAAAAGTTTTACAAATACAGTGGATAAAGTAAGAGTCGAGAATGGGAAATATCGGGTCGTAATTAGCGATGAGACTTATTCCAGTGTGGTATCGGAAGTCTGATTTGTCACCTACAAGAATAGCTCCTTTGATCAGATCTTCGTCAAGTTATAAAACAACAATGTGACAAAAATATTTAATGAACGAATATTAATTTCTAAAACTAATTTGCTCACTGTTGGCCGTTCGTTAGTTAGTTGATGAAAACTTTTTTTTTTTTATATCTTCCAAATTGTTCCTCAAGTTAGCCATAAAAATAAATATGGGAAAAGTCGAGCAGTCTAAGGACCCTTAGCTAAGGGTCGTGTCCTGGAGAGCATAAACCAACCCTTACTGATTTAAATTATAGAACATTGTCAGATATGACGTAATAAGTTCTACAGCCAAAGATTGGACATACACGTTACTTATTTTGAATCAATTAATAAGTTGATTACTGTTGATAGACAGGATACTTATTCAACAAATGCATGAATTGAATATGTGCTTCAGTGCCAAAGGATGTCTTCTTTGAAAACCATAACGAGCGCCGTAGTTACCATTTCGCATTGCATCCACTTTGTTTTAACCTAACTGACCATACCAACTACACTTTAAGTTGGTTCCTACCGGATAAACTCAGTACAATTCCATACGCACGGAATCTTATATACACTTCCTTCCACTTTTATTCTTGACAATCGAACAAAGGCCTCCGAGGAAGAGAGGAGCTAAAGCAAACAATCTGAAAGGCAGCGTCAATACCCTAATGCTACCAGTAGGCACGCCATGTAATCGTAATGGCGCTTTTTCACAGCTGATTAAAGAAATATGGCGGGAATTGCAAGGTTTGGCGGGTAATCTTTGTACACGCTATCGTTCGCGTGTGGCCAGCTGATCTTATTGACGAGGCCAATAATCTGACAAGATAAGGGAGAGGCTAAAAGATAACGAAGATATATCGAAGGTGGAACACAGTGATGAGTAAAAGAAGGTGTTTATGCATATTTATCATGTAAAAGGTATAAAACAGGTGTTGTATTTCAAATGTCCGCTCGTAGATTAAACGAAAACCAATAGACAAATGTTAAAATTTAAGTATATACATTGGAGTACAAATTTTTGCTTTGGGATTAGCCCCAAATCTTCAGAGTTCCGTTAAAAAACGCTGGGAAGTAAATGGGAATCGGTCTTTATGGATAACAAAATAGCATCTGTCCTCAAATGTTTTTAATTGAATTTTACACATTCATAGTGCTAATTAAAAACAATAAAATTATACATGGGATTTGAGAACTAATTATGTAATCTATTAATGTGCTTTTGTATTTTCCTAATAATGTTTAACTAAAATAACCACAAAATACTCCCTACATATTTCAAAGTTGAACATGAGTGGAAAATGCA